GCGCTTGGTTTGAAAGATTCCGACTTGGAACATTTGAAGACAACATCACTGCTTATAACTCACACAGGAGAAACACAATGTTGAACTACACAATGTTGGAATGTTGAACTACACAATGTTGGAATGTTGGACTACACAATGTTGGAATGTTGAACTACACAATGTTGGAATGCTGAACTACACAATGTTGGAATGTTGAACAACGCAATGTTGGAATGTTGAACTACACAATGTTGGAATGTTGGACTACACAATGTTGGAATGTTGGACTACACAATGTTGGAATGTTGAACTACACAATGTTGGAATGCTGAACTACACAATGTTGGAATGTTGAACAACGCAATGTTGGAATGTTGGACTACACAATGTTGGAATGTTGAACTACACAATGTTGGAATGTTGAACTACACAATGTTGGAATGTTGAACTACACAATGTTGGAATGTTGAACTACACAATGTTGGAATGTTGGACTGCACAAGCAGTGTAAAGTGACAAACCATTCAAGGCAGAGGGAATAAAAAGAAAGTAACAGAAGGGCAGTGCGAGTACGTTGTTGTTGTTGTTGTTGTTGTTGTTGTTGTTAGCGATCCAGTAGCATTTGAGTTCAGTGCGAGTCTGTAATGCAAGAACAGGTCGTTAGAGGAACCAATCCCTGCTTTTTACCTGTTAAATGGGCAAAAATGTGTGAACCATCCAAACATTTGCAAATTCTGGAAGTTTTGTATTTAAGAACAGAATTATCTAAAAGCTCACTTCCCACATTTCCATTTCAAAAGCATTTCTTACATCAACTGAAACATTTTCCTAAAACGTAGGGGAGAAGAATTGTGTCTCTTTCAATGTGTTTTGTTGAACGCTGCACTAGGCACAGTTAGTTCCTTACAGTACGTTGCACTTTGTCACACAGAGAGATGGGCCGAAGATTTTACCCTGAGCAGGAAGGAAAACACACTGTCACATGGTCGGGGCAGTCGAAAATGGGAAAAGAACGTAAATTTGACCAAGTTTTCCAGGACAAAGATAATAACAATGAGGGCCAAACAATGATAAAGATGATAATAATGATGGAGAAGAAATAATTATATGGATGATAATAATTATGACAAATAAATGAAGACAAAAAGATAGGATGACAATAACAATAATGACAACAAAGCCCAGAGACAGAGCATTGGGTCAATGATCCCCAATCACTGACCTCCAAGTCGCGATGGTTCAGCCTCAGATGTTCTCCATCCACTGACCTCTAAGTCGTGAGGTGACCTCTAAGTCGTGAGGTGACCTCTAAGTCGTGAGGTGACCTCTAAGTCGTGAGAGTACAACCTCAAATGTTCCCCAACCACTGACCTCTAAGATGTAAGGGTTCAGCCTCAGACTCCCCAACCACTGACCTCTAAGACGTAAGGGTTCAGCCTCAGACTCCCCAACCACTGACCTCTAAGACGTAAGGGTTCAGCTTCAGACTCTCCAACCACTGACCTCTAAGACGTGAGGGTTCAGCCTCAGACTCTCCAACCACTGACCTCTAAGACGTAAGGGTTCAGCTTCAGACTCTCCAACCACTGACCTCTAAGACGTGAGGGTTCAGCCTCAGACTCTCCATCCCGTCTTGTGTAGCAGCCTCCGTCTTCCCTTGGTCTGCTCTGCATATGGCCCGCAGTCTAAACAGCGAAGCTAGTTGTTCCCTCGGGACGTCACACGCTATTTCCTTCTCGTCCAAGAGAAAAGACAAACAGTGCTCTGCCTTCAGCAGGTCCCCTCGTGCTCTGTGAGCTGCAGCGTCTTCCTCAATGGACGTACATGCTGCAGCCAAGGCCATCTGACGCGAGAATCCTGCTACCACAAAACAACACACAATTATCCCTTAGGACAAAACAAAACATATGTAACATTCGAGGGAAACCAAGTCTGAGGCAAAGTCGAAAATTCAAGTAAAAACATACGCTACGAAATGCCATTTTGATAGTTAGTTCTTCTTATTCCACTGTAGGGCCTACTCTTACGTTCCAAATGTGATGTTATATCGTCATCGGATGGGCTGCGATAGTGTCAACGTCTACTTTTGTGTCAGCGTTAAGCTAAAGAGTCTATGTTTCTCTACTCAGTCACATGTGTGTTGTCTATATTTCTCTATTCAGTCACATGTGTGTTGTCTATGTTTCTCTACTCATTCACATGTGTGTTGTCTATGTTTCTCTACTCAGTCACATGTGTGTTGTCTATGTTTCTCTACTCAGTCACATGTGTGTTGTCTATGTTTCTCTACTCAGTCACATGTGTGTTGTCTTGTTTCTCTATTCAGTCACATGTGTGTTGTCTATGTTTCTCTACTCAGTCACATGTGTGTTGTCTATGTTTCTCTACTCAGTCACATGTGTGTTGTCTATGTTTCTCTATTCAGTCACATGTGTGTTGTTTATGTTTCTCTACTCAGTCACATGTGTGTTGTCTATGTTTCTCTACTCAGTCACATGTGTGTTGTCTATGTTTCTCTACTCAGTCACATGTGTTTATATGGGAGTGACCATCATAGAAATTATCTGCATTATAACCATCCTCATCATTATTATTTTATTTGTACTATTATTATTATTATTATTATTATTATTATTATTATTATTATTACTATCATCATCATCATCATTATTATTATTATCATTATTATTATATTCAGAGGCAAAACAAGCGTGAAATTTCCAGAAGTTACAGCAGCCAACGAAGCTCACACACGACACTGACCTTCTGTGCCAAGGTCAACGTCACAGAAATAACATCAGGACGCTAAAAGACCCACCTAGTGACCCCCTTGTGGCTGTGTCATTTGGACGAAATAGGATTTCCTTTACACTCGACAAACCCCAGTTGAGGGTGGTACATTTTGTTCATGCGCTTTTGCCTCCAAGTATAATATAATAATATTTCTATTTTTTTTATTATTATTATTATTATTATTATTATTATTATTATTATTATTATTATTATCATTATTTTTACTATTATTATAACAATGCGTCTTGTCTTGTGTGCTACAGTATGTCATGAGCTGTAATGTGTCTTGTGTGCTACAGTATGTCATGAGCTGTAATGTGTCTTGTGTGCTACAGTATGTCATGAGCTGTAATGTGTCTTGTGTGCTACAGTATGTCATGAGCTGTAATGTGTCTTGTGTGCTACAGTATGTCATGAGCTGTAATGTGTCTTGTGTGCTACAGTATGTCATGAGCTGTAATGTGTCTTGACTTACCAGCGTGCTGTGTGCTACAGTGTGTCATGACCTGTAATGTGTCTTGACTTACCAGCGTGCTGTGTGCTACAGTGTGTCATGAGCTGTAATGTGTCTTGACTTACCAGCGTGCTGTGTGCTACAGTATGTCATGAGCTGTAATGTGTCTTGACGTACCAGCGTGCTGTGTGCTACAGTACGCCATGAGCTGTAATGTGTCTTGACTTACCAGCGTGCTGTGTCCTACAGTATGTCATGAGCTGTAATGTGTCTTGACTTACCAGCGTGCTGTGTGCTACAGTACGCCATGAGCTGTAATGTGTCTTGACTTACCAGCGTGCTGTGTGCTACAGTATGTCATGAGCTGTAATGTGTCTTGACTTACCAGCGTGCTGTGTCCTACAGTATGTCATGAGCTGTAATGTGTCTTGACTTACCAGCGTGCTGTGTGCTACAGTACGCCATGAGCTGTAATGTGTCTTGACTGAACAAACTGAGCACATTCTCAGCTATCTGGCTGAAGTCCATGATTCTCCTCCCTCTCCTCTTTCACCTCCTCCTCCTCCTGAAGTAAAAAGAAAGACTTTATTAAAAAGACAAAGTCTCCTCAATTAGCAACAAAAAATGTCATCACAAATGATGGACGTCCACAATTTGTACTGTGACAAATCACAAATGATGGACGTCCACAATTTGTACTGTGACAAATCACAAATGATGGACGTCCACAATTTGTACTGTGACAAATCACAAATAGAAACAGTTTTTCTTATTGCATGTTAGGAAATCAATGAGAGTGGGAGTGTTCAGGTATAGCGCTTCCAACTCAGAAACATCATGGTTTTGCCAGATAAGTGTTGACTGCTTGCACTGATTTCTATCAAACTTTTTCCACTACTCTTGTATCAATTTGTCTTCATTTTATATATATATATATATATATATATATATATACATACATACATACATATATACATATATATATATATATATATATATATATATAAGCAAGAGGTTCAAGGCCGAGTAGTGAGGAGCTAATTCTTCTCTTTGTCTATGTACAAAAATACTTGCTTGAGAGACAACCTGAGACGACTTACAGTGAGAAAGGCAGCATGACCCGTCAGAAACTGAAACTGAACGATGACAAGATGGACATAATGTGGAGTGAAAATGCAAAAGCCATTAGAAATCTACCAGAACTACAAACTGATATCAATAATCATACCATTGGTTCAAAAAGAAACCTTAAAAATCTAGGGGTTCAGTTGGATTATGATATGTCTATGTCCTCCCAAATTAGCCAGCTCGGCAAAAGTATCTATTTTAAGAAAAAAATCAACAGCTGAAGAAATTATTTAACAAAAGCAGCAGCCAAGACACTTGTAACAACACTGATTTCATCAAAAGTAGACTACTGTAAAGCTATTTTATCCCGTTTGGCAGGCGGAAAAACTATCAATGCTACAAGTAGACCTACTCCAAAATCAAGCTGCAAAATTGATAATGAAACAAAAGGAATCAACGCACATAACAAAAATTCTGAAAGAACTACACTGGCTGCCAGTAAAAGAGAGGATCAAATATAAAACTGCTGTTTTCTATTGTACATGTACAATGACACTGCACCTATTTATCTAAAACAGTTCCTGGAATTATATCATCTACCCAGAGCCCTTAGATCAGCCACTGACAATCTAATTCTTAGAACCCAAAAACAAAACTACAAAACATACGGCAATCGTTCCTTTTTATTCTTTGGTCCCCATGTATGGAACCAACTCCCATATAAAATAAGAAGTGTGCCTACTATTCGCATTTTCCCAAAACAGCTGAAGCATATCTTTTTCACAAATGCATACCTGTAAATATTATATATATATATATATATATATATATATATATATATATATATATATATATATATATATATATATATATATATATT